TTGAACATTAACGGCCTGTCCACACGGCGGCGTGTGTTGTCGCTTGCCGGCGGGGGGGGGGGCTGAAACTCGACCAACACAAGCACGCGGTTTGATTGGCTAGAGCTTGTACTGGCATATGATTCGATTGGCTGACGCTTCCACCGAAGCTTTAAAAGTTGAACATTGCTCAACTTTCGTCGCGAGCAACGCCAGCAAATCTACACTTCGCTCCCACAATGCAGTTCGGCGAAACGGGACGTCACCCCATTCAAAGTGAATGGGCAGAAGCTTCAACGCACGCCGCCGTGTGGACGGGCCGTAAAGCATCGAAACATGTCACAGTAGAGAAACTACATACTGATATACACCTGAACATCAGCAGGAGAGGACTCTTTAAAGTAGAGACACTACATACTGATATACACCTGAACATCAGCAGGAGAGGACTCTTTAAAGTAGAGACACTACATACTGATATACACCTGAACATCAGCAGGAGAGGACTCTTTAAAGTAGAGACACTACATACTGATATACACCTGAACATCAGCAGGAGAGGACTCTTTAAAGTAGAGACACTACATACTGATATACACCTGTACATCAGCAGGAGAGGACTCTTTAAAGTAGAGACACTACATACTGATATACACCTGAACATCAGCAGGAGAGGACTCTTTAAAGTAGAGACACCACATACTGATATACACCTGAACATCAGCAGGAGAGGACTCTTTAAAGTAGAGACACTACATACTGATATACAGCTGAACATCAGCAGGAGAGGACTCTTTAAAGTAGAGACACTATATACTGATATACACCTGAACATCAGCAGGAGAGGACTCTTTAAAGTAGAGACACCACATACTGATAGACACCTGAACATCAGCAGGAGAGGACTCTTTAAAGTAGTGTTACTACATACTGATATACACCTGAACATCAGCAGGAGAGGACTCTTTAAAGTAGAGACACTACACACTGATATACACCTGAACATCAGCAGGAGAGGACTCTTTAAAGTAGAGACACTACATACTGATATACACCTGCACATCAGCAGGAGAGGACTCTTTAAAGTAGAGACACTACATACTGACATACACCTGAACATCAGCAGGAGAGGACTCTTTAAAGTAGAGACACTACATACTGATATACACCTGAACATCAGCAGGAGAGGACTCTTTAAAGTAGAGACACTACATACTGATATACACCTGACCATCAGCAGGAGAGGACTCTTTAAAGTAGAGACACTACATACTGATATACACCTGAACATCAGCAGGAGAGGACTCTTTAAAGTAGAGACACTAGATACTGATATACACCTAAACATCACCATAGGGGACTCTTTAAAGCTGTTCGCTCATTGGATAAGAGTGTGTGCTCTTTAAATAACGAGAATGCTTTTCTATAAATTGTTTTTGGAGTCGAGGGTGTTAAACTTCCTTACATCGCCCCTCTGCCACTGAATGCCTTGAGTCAGAGTTTATTTCAGTTTAGATCTCGCTGCTTGGCCCACATGTGTCCCGCCTCGAGGAGATGTACCTACTCTGATTTGTATTCTCAACTTAATTCTGCTCCAGTTCCCCATAAAAGAAAACGTGGATTTGATAACCCAGAGAGGAGCTGCCCCACAGAATCCACTGATACAAGTTTTACGGTGTTTTTTATTTATTTTCTCTTTGTTAAAGGCGCTAAAATGCTCTCAATCAACTTATTACTGTTCTTACGGTTTCCTGATATAACACACAACGTTGAAACAATATTTGTTGTATTTTATTAAGACGACTATACAGTTCGCTCATTGGAAAAATGAAAGACTATCCGATACTACTTGGGTCCTTTGGTCTTATCACATCATTGCACAATTGGACCATATTTAGATCTAAATACCGACTGCATTTTGTGATAATTATATTAACATAAGCTATTTTAATGAGTTTGGGGCATATGTTGAGGTTGAGCTTTTATTTTGAGTAAGTGAACGTACTACATAAGTAAAGCGTATTTTCACATCTTAATTATTTATTTACTATTGTTTGTGTTGTGATGCGTTGCTCGGCTCACATTTTAGCTACGTATACCTACGTTTTCCATAAATCACGCAACTTTCTTCTCTTATCCAACTGTGTTTCCTTAACCGCAATGCATGCTGGGATATAATGTCTGTATGCTATTGCATTTTTAACCATGATGGAATATGTATTATAATTATAACTATATTCTACATTCATACAGCACGACAACATGGCCAACTCGTTTTATTGTGAAACAGCCTTCTGAAGTGGGTGGGGCATAATTCGGAAATGATGATGACACATGATTCCGTTCACCAATCAGAATTCAGCATCATTTGAATCAGAATAGTATTGTTGCCAGGCGACATACACAAAGTCCTGATTACTTTTTGACTGTTAACTCTTAAAAAACACGACATTAATGGTGATTTTTGTATATTTAAATAATGTACCATATTATTTAGGGGCTCCATTCAAAATGTTGTATAATTTGGCAACTACAGCTCAAAGACACTATTTTAAACCACATTGCAATAACATTACACGTTTAAACTTCAAAAAGAATATATTTTTCTTGTCAATAGACTGGATACAAAATAAGTCCTGTGTCTCACAGATCATTTGTGAATATTCGTTGCTTATGTTGGAAAATGTAGAATCAGAATTGTATTTGTTTTGGTACATTTTGTGATTTCATTCAAGAAAATAAATCACTTCAAATTCATTCTTTGGTTTCATTCTTATTTTTCTATTTTGTGGATTTCTTATTGCACTTGTTAACAAGTGTTGCTGTCTGCTTTGGGTTTTTCTGTCTTATACGTTGGGTAATTACGTCAATTTGCGTCATTGTTGGGAATAGAAAAATTGTACAAAAGTTGGACGAAGCCAATTTATAACAGCAGGAAATCTTCACATTTGAGATGCCTAAACCCACAAATGCATTATTACTTATTGAATGACTTTGGAAGAATAGGACTCCTTGAAAGTCGTTTTGCACTTTGGAGTGTGTGCTCTTTAAATAGGGAGGATGCTTTTCTATAAATTGCTTTCGGAGTCCAGGGTGTTAAACTTACTGAAATAAACCCAAAAACGCCTTCTTTACTTATTACATAACGTACTGTGACTGACATATCAATTGATTCAATTCTTGTTTTTGCATCAAAAGAACAACGTGGTACCGCAGTCTCAGTTATAACTTCCGTTCATGGGCGGCGCCAGGATGTTTTTGCTGCAGTAGTTTAGCAGTTGCTATATGACAGCACGGCGTTGCTAGTTAATTTTCAAAATAAACAAACAATACCAGTGGGCCAAGCACGAGCCTGTTCATATTGTAGCGTTCACCGCTATTCAAGATCACTCAAGCCTTCAATGTCGAAAACGTTCTCTTTATTTACAGAACCAATCAATAGTGTAACACACGTGACACACACCGGAAAACGCACACACATACACACACCTGGAAGGGGCGGTCTCTCCCTAACTCCCTGCTACACACTGTCATATAGCAACTGCTAAACTACTGCAGCAAAAAAATCCTGGCGCCGCCCATGTCCCTGACCATATTTGACATCAGCTCAATGAGCTCATCTTGTATGTCGTGGTGTGTGTACTTTGCATTTCTCGGATTATCGGATTTTTTTTTTGCCACAGTTTTGTCAAACTTGCCAATCAGGTCTAAAAGTTCGATGAAGTTTCCCCTGTTGTTTGATGATGCTTCACTCTCCCTATGCCCTCGTTGTGCAATGGTTTGACACGCAGTGTAACGCAATGCTTCCACAACTGCCCGCATATATTCCCTGTTTTCACATACAGTTTTTGAATGTCCCTCGCTGAGTGCGTTGCTGATTTTTGAGCCACTCTCTTTCCTTAATTTAAATTCAGACCATGCATCCATGGCACATTTATGTCCACTGCTCACATCATGAGTAATGAATGACTGCGTAGCTTTCACCCAGGTGCTAAATCCGTCATGGGTAAAGGCGCTTTCTTTATGGAACCGGCGTCCTTCATGAGCAAAATGCCTGCAGGCAAAACACAATACACTGTCCATAGTCATTGAGTACTCTAGCCAAGTATATTGCTCGTACCATCGGCGATTGAATGACCGCATTTGCAGTCCGTACTTCTTTGACGGGTATTTTCTCAGCATAGGACGTCTTGGTCCATCACAGGCTGACTGGCTGATGTCAATTACGGTGCGGAGAGGAGCAGCGCTAGTTCCACTAGTTCCACTGCAGCTCGTGGTTGCAGCTAGCTGGTCCTGCTGCTGCGGGTGCAGCGGGTCAGTTGGCGGGGGCACCTGTTCTTCGTGGTCCCAATCCTCCCGGTTTTCATAGTGAACATCGGGATCCTTGTAGATAGCAGGGTTGTCCGGCTGGACCGGCTCCGTTGGAGATCGCGGTCGTTTACGCTGACTTGTGACTGTGAGAAATGTTTCCATTTTCGATCTACTGAGAATTAGCCAAGTAACAGTTCACGCAGTAAATTACAACGACCCGCCCCTGATAGATCCCGCGAAAATGTATCATATTTATACACATTCTCGCGGGCTGCGAGAATGTGTATAAATATGATACATTTTCATATCAAAACAATGGGGTTGCTAAGCCGTTGCTAGGCCAATTGTTGGAGTTGCTAAAGCAACTCCAAGATACCCCCTGGCGCCGCCCCTGCTTCCGTTCCATCTTCACGATTTAAAAAAACCACGACACACAAACGTATATCTTGACATCTTTTACCACATGAATCCGCCCCTCTTCTCGTCCTCTACCTACTGAAATAAACCCATAAATGCCTTTTCACTTATTAAATGACTTACTGTGACTGACTTGTCAATTAATTGAATGATTTGTTTTGCATCAGAAGGACAATGCATGAAGATGTTGAAAGAACTGGAGAACTTGGTACCTCCAGTTTGAGTTATACCTTCTGTTCCAAAAACTACGACACACAAACGTATCTTGACATGTTTTACTTGACTCTGCTTACCTGATAGATGACGACCCTGAACTTGTTGCGTGTGAGCAGCTCGTCCTGCGTGGTTTCCACCTTCTTCACGTGGACGTTTTGATTCTCGACACGCGTGCGGACTTCCTTGACATTGGCGCTGACTTTGCGGGTCTTCTGCAGCAGTTTCTCCACCGTGCAGTTGGTGTCCGTGTGGTCTTTGGCGAGCTTCATCACGTCTCCCTGGATGCTCTTGATGTTGCCCTCCAGGTCCATCTGACGCTCCTCCATGCGCTGCTGGCAGGACTGGACGTTGTCGATGATGCCGGCCACGCGTTCCAGAAGCGACAAGATGGTCAAGGCGCTGATTGGGTTCCCGTCGGCATCTTCCACCCCGAGGATCTCCAACTTCTCCTGGACTCCCGCTGTGCGATACTTATGCTGATCCATTGCAACGTTTCGATGATAATGATTTGCCTCTTCAAATGACTTCAAAACTTGTTGAAGATGTGTGGTTTGGCGTAGGGAAAGGAACCAGGAGATACCAACAGGAGACCGGAGAGTGGAAACACCCGACCACAGTGACCCAAACTCAGGTCTGGGGACAGGAGAGAGGCTAAACTCCACCTACCACTTTTAAAAAAGGCCTCAGGATCCAAAGGGGAACCTCACACGAACCACCCAGGGCTAAAAATAAAAAATCTCTCTGTAAGGCGACACGTTGGACATTTTGGGAAGACGCAATGCATGATTGGAAACCCCCCGCCTAGAGTCCTGCGCCGCTTTGTTAAAGCCACGTGCACTGATTCATAATTTAGCGTTATTTTTGCACACATGTTCATGCTAGCAGCTGCTAGCATCAACAGCAGCTTAGCAGGTATTCTGCAGCCCTGCAGGGACGCATGCAAAGCGGCCACAGTTGTCTGGTGTGATGACACAGAGCTGGAATGCGTTTTGGGGGGATTAAAGCATTGCAGCCCTGCCCTTTTTACTTTCCTCTGGGCAGCAGAGTCCGGACATTGGCAGGGACTGAGATCTGAAGCTCTTTATAGAGACGAGAGGAGTGTCAAAGTGACGCCGATTTAACACTCGCTGCTCTGAACAGCCACAGTCAACACATACACGTTCATAAGATGGATTCAGTGGAGGAATAATCATTGGTCTTTAGCTCACAGTTGGAGAAAGTCATGAACGTACTTTGTCATATATTTAAAGCAAAAAGATATTTCTTTAACAACCTGATAGGAGGCTAAAGGGTTAGCGCCACAACCCTTTAACGAGCTATGGTCTGTTTGGTTTCAGAGTGAAAATGTCCTTTTACTTTGTTTTCTAATTAGTCTTAAAACCAATTATGTGCAATATGTGCCATTAATAACTGTCTAATATATAGCTTTCTGCTATATCTCTGAACTGGTAAAACTATAAATTGCGTAATTTTTCTTTTACATGTTTTTATTAATTAACTTTAATATGTGTGTATGCATGCTTCTTAGGTAACATGAAGCTCTCTTCTTGCTGTAACAAATGCAAATGTCCCCCTCTGTGGGACAAATTAAGTTATTCTGATTCAGATTTATTTTTGCTATTTTAATCCTATTGAGATGTTGACATTTATTTCTAGTCTTTTAATTGTATTGTACAATGCCATGCCTTTTTATGCTGCTGCAACACAAACATGTCCCAACTTGGGATCAATAAAGTACCTCTTATCTTATCTTTATCACTTTACTAGATCTGACACAAAACAACAACAAAAGTAACGCAGGGCTAGAAATGTAGTTTAGGAAAGTCTTGGTTATTTGTCCAGTTCTTTGCAGTAAAGTTGTACCATGATGGGTTTTTGTACATTGTGGTAGTTTGGAGATGACTGATTGCTTTCGACTGAAGCCAACAGCTGCTCCTGTCCCTGAATACCCCCCCCCCCACCCCCTCTATAACTCTATATTTACTCCAGTATAGCATGCCTGAGTCCCTGCCCCTTGTAGAAATGTACAGAGGTGGGAAGTATCGGAGTACAAATACTTTGTTACTGTACTTAAGTACATGTTTCTGGCATCAGTACTTTACTCCATGACTTTTTACTTTGACTTCTTACATTTTGAACCCAAATATCTGTACTTTCTACTTCTTACATGTTGAACCCAAATACCTGTACTTTCTACTTCTTACATGTTGAACACAAATACCTGTACTTTCTACTTCTTACATGTTGAACTCAATACCTGTACTTTCTACTTCTTACATGTTGAACACAAATACCTGTACTTTCTACTTCTTACATGTTGAACTCAAATACCTGTACTTTCTACTTCTTACACTTTGAACACAAATACCTGTACTTTCTACTTCTTACATGTTGAAACACAAATAACCTGTACTTTCTACTTCTTACATTTTGAAACTCAAATACCTGTACTTTCTACTTCTTACATGTTGAACACAAATACCTGTACTTTCTACTTCTTACATGTTGAACACAAATACCTGTACTTTCTACTTCTTACATGTTGAACACAAATACCTGTACTTTCTACTTCTTACATGTTGAACTCAAATACCTGTACTTTCTACTTCTCACATGTTGAACCCAAATACCTGTACTTGTCTACTTCTTACATGTTGAACTCAAATACCTGTACTTTCTACTTCTTACACTTTGAACCCAAATACCTGTACTTTCTACTTCTTACATGTTGAACACAAATACCTGTACTTTCTACTTCTTACATGTTGAACTCAAATACCTGTACTTTCTACTTCTTACACTTTGAACACAAATACCTGTACTTTCTACTTCTTACATGTTGAACACAAATACCTGTACTTTCTACTTCTTACATGTTGAACTCAAATACCTGTACTTTCTACTTCTTACATGTTGAACACAAATACCTGTACTTTCTACTTCTTACATGTTGAACTCAAATACCTGTACTTTCTACTTCTTACATGTTGAACTCAAATACCTGTACTTTCTACTTCTTACATGTTGAACTCAAATACCTGTACTTTCTACTTCTTACATGTTGAACTCAAATACCTGTACTTTCTATTTCTTACATGTTGAACTCAAATACCTGTACTTTCTACTTCTCACATGTTGAACTCAAATACCTGTACTTTCTACTTCTTACATGTTGAACTCAAATACCTGTACTTTCTACTTCTTACATGTTGAACTCAAATACCTGTACTTTCTATTTCTTACATGTTGAACCCAAATACCTGTACTTTCTACTTCTTACATGTTGAACTCAAATACCTGTACTTTCTACTTCTTACATGTTGAACTCAAATACCTGTACTTTCTATTTCTTACATGTTGAACCCAAATACCTGTACTTTCTACTTCTTACATGTTGAACTCAAATACCTGTACTTTCTATTTCTTACATGTTGAACCCAAATACCTGTACTTTCTACTTCTTACATGTTGAACTCAAATACCTGTACTTTCTACTTCTCACATGTTGAACTCAAATACCTGTACTTTCTATTTCTTACATGTTGAACCCAAATACCTGTACTTTCTACTTCTCACATGTTGAACTCAAATACCTGTACTTTCTACTTCTCACATGTTGAACTCAAATACCTGTACTTTCTATTTCTTACATGTTGAACTCAAATACCTGTACTTTCTACTTCTTACATGTTGAACACAAATACCTGTACTTTCTACTTCTCACATGTTGAACCCAAATACCTGTACTTTCTACTTCTTACACGTTGAACTCAAATACCTGTACTTCTACTTCTTACATGTTGAACCCAAATACCTGTACTTTCTACTTCTTACATGTTGAACTCAAATACCTGTACTTTCTACTTTCTTACATGTTGAACTCAAATACCTGTACTTTCTACTTCTCACATGTTGAACTCAAATACCTGTACTTTCTACTTCTTACATGTTGAACCCAAATACCTGTACTTTCTACTTCTTACATGTTGAACCCAAATACCTGTACTTTCTACTTCTTACATGTTGAACTCAAATACCTGTACTTTCTACTTCTCACATGTTGAACTCAAATACCTGGTACTTTCTACTTCTCACATGTTGAACTCAAATACCTGTACTTTCTACTTCTTACATGTTGAACTCAAATACCTGTACTTTCTACTTCTTACATGTTGAACTCAAATACCTGTACTTTGACTTCTTACATGTTGAACTCAAATACCTGTACTTTCTACTTCTTACATGTTGAACTCAAATACCTGTACTTTCTACTTCTTACATGTTGAACTCAATTACCTGTACTTTCTACTTCTCACATGTTGAACTCAAATACCTGTACTTTCTACTTCTTACATGTTGAACTCAAATACCTGTACTTTCTACTTCTTACATGTTGAACTCAAATACCTGTACTTTCTACTTCTTACATGTTGAACTCAAATACCTGTACTTTCTACTTCTTACATGTTGAACTCAAATACCTGTACTTTCTACTTCTTACATGTTGAACTCAAATACCTGTACTTTCTACTTCTTACATGTTGAACTCAAATACCTGTACTTCTACTTCTTACATGTTGAACCCAAATACCTGTACTTTCTACTTCTTACATGTTGAACTCAAATACCTGTACTTTCTACTTCTTACATGTTGAACTCAAATACCTGTACTTTCTACTTCTTACATGTTGAACTCAAATACCTGTACTTTCTACTTCTTACATGTTGAACTCAAATACTTGTACTTTCTACTTCTCTCATTTCCCAAACAGCTGGTTCCTTTAGTCTGAATGTGTGTTTGATGCGTGATCATTATTCTTTAGAGTCATTGCGTGCCTATTGATTTGAACACGATCCGTGTATCCATCATTTCCTGGTCTTCTCTAAAGAAGAGGGACCAATGGAAACGTTGTCATGTTGCCGTTGTTCAGCATGGAAACATTCATTAGCTAACAATGACATTATTGTTCTATTGATATAAAGGGAGGTCAGGTACTCTTTAAAACAGCTGCTAGTTATGGGTACTTTCTACTGAAGGACACTTCAAAGCCTCTTTACTTTGACTTGAGTAAAGAAGTTTAGTCAGTACTTCTACTTTCACAAGAGTATTTTTAAACACGAGTATCTGTACTTCTACTTGAGTAAAGGATGTGTGTGCTTTTGCCATCTCTGGAAATGTACCACACACACTGTGGTGTATTTTCACATGGAGGTTCGGTGACCTCTGCTCCGCTTCTGGATCCTGAACAAATGAGCAGTTTTTAATTAGACAGGAGCATCAATGAAGGACCCCCGACAGGTGGGGGGAGCACAGGACATGGCTGGAGGACACATTCAACCTCATCTGTGCTCGCCACTGAGTCCCAAAGCGGCAATTAGCGAGGGTAGATATTTAGCTAAATGCATATGAATAGGAAATGTGTTTTTAGGGGGCAGTAAACCCAATATCTCATTTTCAGCTTCACATTTTCTTCCTGGTAATTCCTTGGAACTCGACTATAGTTAGAAAAAGAAATGTTTTTATATGAACTCAAGATGAATTTCATCTATGAACTCTGACATGTTTATGTTAAGTAGAAAAAGATTATATCTGTTTTGAATATTGGCTCTATTTATGAGTTGCTGCAATTGCTTTATTCTAGGTAATTAGGGGCTGGAATGTTAGAGCCATTTTTTGTGTTGACTATAAATTAAAATGTTCCAATTAATTTAGGTCTTAAAATATGCTTTCGATTTATGAATTTGTATTAAATAAAATATTCTGAGAATAGTTTGGATTTATTGTGGTCAACCAGATGATCAGCTGTTATATACAGTGTTTGACCTCACGTTACACTGATCATGTTTTGTTTATTTGTTTGTTAATTTAATGGAAGTAAATAAATCAGCCAAAGGAAGGCACAGAAATCAGCGCCTGCAGAGGTTTATGTGGACGGTTTTTAACGTGTGAGTCAAGAAGCGGAGCCCTGTTAATGTGGCAGTTTTAAATATCCTACAATGAGCCACGACAGCAACATTGCAGCGTTAAAACCGAGAAGAAATGTCGTTTGTAAATAATGTTTTCTTCAAACTAAAGCCTTTGTTTGAGTCGTGCTGTCGTGAGTCCTTTACCTGAGTTCACTCTAGTCGTTCCAGGCTTCCCATTTTTAACGTCGATGTCTATCGAGAGGAATAAACGGTCATAATCTGTCTTAGAGCAGTTTACACATTACACTACATGTGCTTGGTGTCTCAGGTGGATCCTTTGTAGACTCCAACATTAATTAGTACACACACACACACACACACACACACACACACACACACACACACACACACACACACACACACAACACACACACACACACACACACACACACACACACACACACACACACACACACACACACACACACACACACACACACACACACACACACACACACACACACACACACACACACACACACACATTAAAAGTAATTTTTTCAAAGCTTCTCTTCACTCAAATGACACATCGGCACTCGGGGGTACATTAAAAAACCATTTCCTTTTTTATTTTGGCAGAGACCAAAAATAGCCTCTCGAAGTCTACATGCAGAATATTAACATGTCAAACACATTCTAGTCACATTTAGAGAAGTCACGGCTGCGATGGTTCGACAACACGAAGAAACACGTTGCTCAGGGGCGACTGACCTACGACCTTTAGACTAACACCTTACACAAACTCCTGTCAGAAAATAAAAGGGGTAAACATCGACAGCAGACGAGCCTCAGACTCTTCGTTCAAAAAAGTGTATGCCTTCACAACAACATGGAGTCTGGATGAAGTGGAGAGGGATGCTGCGTCTGAATTACTCTTTCATCACTGCATGGCAAAAGAAAAGGATGGGGCTTTTACAGAAGAGGATCGGGGCCACATGTGACATTTTCTTTTTAGATCTGACCAGAAGTAAAAAAAAAGAAATCTGATTTTTTTCCGATGATTTTTGACTTTTTTCTCAAAAGCCTTCGATAAAACAAATTCTGAAATTAGCCGCTTTCACACCAAGTACTTTGCCATACTTAGTTCCCAGTACTTGTTCCCCCCGAACTCTGTAGTTCCTGGAACTGTCCTAGTAGATCGCGTTCACAACGGAATAAGTTCCCTGAGGGAGGATTACGCAAATGAGCCGCTGACGTCACTTCTTCTTCTTCTGCTTTGGGTTTACTGGCAGGCCGCAAACAACTTCACGGCGTATACTGCCACCCGGAGTCCCGGAGTCCCCCGGAGTTGGGGAAGGCTTCAATAGAAGCTTCAGAGTAAATCGCCAGAACGCCGACTCCTCCTCATCACTCCATCGGTCACATGTTTTCTTTTGTGTTGCCATAAGTTAGCCTCTCTCCGTTGGTGCGCTGGGCTAATGCTACTAATGCTAATGCGAGCAAATAAAATGGCGGCTTCACAAAAGAGTTTTACGTGGGCGGGGCTATTCCTGGGAAAAGTACTCCGGTGTGAAAGCGCCTTTCGACTTTTTCTGAAAAACTTGGAGAAAAATAATTTTGACTTTTTTCTAAAAATGGTTAGAAAAACTTTGTCTGACTTTTTTTCTCAATTTAGATTTTTTTCTCCAATTTTTAACTTTTTTCTCCAAATTCGAAAACAAAATTATTCAAACCTTTTTTTCTCCAAATGTTGTTTTATTTTTTATCTGAGCATTTTGCGAAAAAAATAAAAATTGTTCCCCAGAATTTTTCTCAAAAATTATAGGAAAAAAATTTCAGACTATTTTTCTCCAAATTCTGAAATTACTTTTTTTCCACTTTTATTCCTCAAATGTTTTGACATTTCTCTCAAAATTCTGACTTATTTCCTCAGAAACAGACAGACAGTTAATCTCTGAACTAAAAAAACAATGTGGCCCTGATCCTCGTCCATAGACTTTGAAATAAAACGCACAAAACGTCATACCTTCACATACAGATTAAAACAACAAGGAACAAAACATCGTCGCTCATCAGATGTGAAGTTCCTGTGGGTTGCTCCTGTTGACTTTCTACATACAGTATTTGTCTGTCTTCACTTTTTAATGTATCACGTAAATGAATAACAAAAGGGTCTTTAAGTAATATATGTATCGTAAAGTGATTTTCTTGTTCTATTATCAGATTTTCTTTGCTTGGAATGTCTCGCTGTGGAGCAAATGCAAAACAACAAGACGCAATATTTCTCTCACATTCAAAGAAAAACCTTGATTACAGCCATCCCTGCAACCAAGACGTTCTCCAGTTACATAACATCGTTTAGGAACCATTCGCAGTCTTTGAAACCTCGAAACAGGCTTCCTTTACAATCCTCTGAATTTGGGTATTTCGTACGAAGACACAAAAACATCCCTTTAAATCAACACAAACCTGTTCCTCATGAGTGTTTTTCAGAACAACGTACTCCAATGTTTCCCACTTCTACTCTTCATGTTGGTGTTTCCTGCTGGACAACAAGCCCACCACATGTTTGTACCAGAAGGAAACGGGGGTTAAAGTCATATTTGTACCGACATCTTTTTATATTATAGGTTTTTTATGTGCTTGGAATGTCTCGCTGCGGAGCAAATGCAAAAACTAAAACCAACAAAAGTAGAAAAAGAGAAAATATTTCTCCCACATTCAAAGACAAACCTTGATTACAGCCATCTCCGCAATCAAGGTGTTCTCCCACTTACATAAAAAACAACAATTCGCAGTCTTTGAAACCTCGAAACAGGCGACACACTTCCTTTACAATCCTCTGAAGTATTTCGTACGAAGATGCAAAAACATTCCTTGGAATCAACACAAACCTGTCTTTCAGAAGAATGTACCCCAATGTTTCCCACTGCTGCTCTTCTTTTTGATATTTTCAGACAGTTTTCCCCAAACTTTAAACATTGCTTTCTTCAGAAACATCGTAAACCTCCCCCTCTCATTGTCCTCCGTTTATCAGTCCGAATCTTTTAGACGTCCATCTCCGAATTTCTCTGAAAACGAGGAGGCGTTGAGTTCTTTTTAAAAAGGTTTGAAACAACACCACAGTACACAGTTTTCACAAGTCATGCGGATATATATACAGGAACTAGTATAATTATGTTAAACAAAAGTAACAAAAGCTACTCTAAAGAAAAGGAATCATTAGAATAGTAATAAATGATTAGCTTGTTGGAACACAGTGACGTCTTGAGAGAATAAAGTATAAACATTTCTGTATCACTGGCCGGCCACAAACTCCTTCGATTAGAAAACAAACTGCATTTGGTGATCAGCTGCACAGCGTTAGTAAAACAGGGGCGTAGAAATAAACATTTTACAATAAATAGCACATTCAAGAGGGGCGGACGTTCCTCCAGTTACCAAAAGTACTGTTTTTTTATAAAGCATTTAGTAATTAAGACACGGTAACAACGTAAAGTGACAGCGGGGGGTTTTGAAGATTCGCCTCCTTGTTCTTCCGGCAAAGAAAGAAAAATGACTTCCATCCAAAAAAAATGAAAAAGAAAAAGGAGGGAAAGTAAGTAAGGCCCCTTAAATAAATATTCTCATTCTTCTTCTTTTTTTTAAGGTTTTCCAGGAGGAAAAAACTAAATACCAAACATCTACCGTTTAAAAAAATGGAGTTCCCACGGCGTAAGAAAAAAGGTTTTAAAAAAGGCCCCGGACGACTCGGCTATACCATCCGGGAGTTCGTGTCCGAGGAAAAGTGTCCCGGGTTTTGCTTTTGCCGGCGAGCCCGGTTGTTCTTCGGACATTTCCTAAAGATAGAAAAAAGAGATTTATTGTGCAGGGTGCCTCTCAGTGGAAGAAAACATGTCTCAGAATTTTGAGGGGAAAAACATTTGAAATTAGGATTTTTTATGCTGTTTTTCTCAGAATTATGTTTTTGTTCTTCGCAATTCTGAGAATTATTATTTATTTTTTTACCTTTCTCCCGAATTCTGACTTTCTTCAGAATTTAGAAACGAAAATATTTGTTCTCAAAATTCTTAGAAAAAACAAATTCTGACTTTTTTTTTCTTCAGAAAAAGTTATGTATATTTTTTAAAGAATTTTGAGGAAAACAGTAAAAGTTCCGACTTTATTTTTTCAAATTCTTAGATTACTCAGAAGTTTGACCTTTGTCTAAAAATTCTGAGAAAAACTGAATTTTGACCTTTTTTTTCAACCATTCTGTGAATAAAGATCTCCATAGACTTTGATACAACATTACATTACGTTGCATTTAGCTGACGCTTTTATCCAAAGCGACTTACAATAAGTGCGTTCGACCAACAAAATACAAACTTGAAGAAATCAGAATCATATAAGTACATCAGGTTTCATAGAGCTAAAACATTTCAAGTGCTACTCAACTGGCTTTAGATAAGCCAGCCCTTTATTAGTATATAAGTGCTTTGTTAATACAAAAGGCACAAAACGCCTTTCGTCACAAAATAACGGTTGATATTTTGAAGGGGAATGAGTGATCGATCGCAGCAGGGATTTGAGCAGGTCTCCCTTGAAAAAGAGATCAATGATCTCAATGGGATACACCTGGGTAAAAGAGGTTTGAAATGAAATGATCATGAACAGGACAATTGTTTATTTTCTACTTTTGTTTTCACATTATGTGCATTATGTCCTTGTTGTAACATTTAACAGGTTTGTCTTTTTTTCTTAAAATTCTAAGAAAGAACAATAATTTTGACTTTTTTTTTTCTTCAGAAAAAGTTATGTATATTTTTTAAAGAATTTTGAGAAAAACAGTAAAAGTTCCGACTTTATTTTTTCAAATTCTTAGATTACTTTTTTTTGTTATCACAAAACAGTCGGGCGTTGTTTCTGATAGCAACGTTTCTGATTGGGCCGTGGGTCCACATTTCAGATGTTACATCATATCGCAAATCTGGATCGGCTCCGTTGTTCCCCGTTTTTAGAGATTTGGGTACGGAGGAAAAGAGAGAGGGTTTTATTTCCTGACGCTGCGTGAGTTCCCCTGACACACCGGGTACACATGGTGATGGAGAGAAGACATCACCGGGGACACACCGGGGACACAGCGGGGACACACCGGGGACGCACCGGGGACACAGCGGGGACACACCGGGGACACAGCGGGGACACACCGGGGACACAGCGGGGACACAGCAGGGACACACCGGGGACGCACCGGGGACACAGCGGGGACACACCGGGGACACAGCGGGGACACACCGTGGACACACCGGGGACGCACCGGGGACACACGGGGACACAGCGGGGACACACCGGGGACACACCGGGGACACATGGTGATGGAGAGAAGACATCACAAAGTGCATTTTGCATGATAGGTCCCCTTTAACTAAAGTAAATCTTTTATCTTTATATTAACTGTGTTTGTTTAAAAACGTCTTTTCCAAACACATCTTTGTTGTTAATGAAAGTGTGTGTGGCCTCACCTCGTGATGCACATCACCACGGCGACGATGATGGCGATCTGCACGGCTCCGATGATGGCGGCGATGAGAACGTAGTGAAGCTTCTGACCGCTGGGAACCACGTACAGGATGTTGAAGTCCTGAGGGTCCTCACACTTAGTCCCCTTATAACCTGCATCACACCTGACACACACACACACACACACACACACACACACACACACACCACACACCACACACACACACACACACACACACACACACACACACACACACACACACACACACACACACACACACACACACACACACACGTTACTGTAGCATAGTCCACAAAGCACTAAGCCATATGTTCATCTATCTTCACATTGAATTTGAATCAGCCCTTGCGTAGGTGTAATTAAGAAACAATTAATTTCTTATTTTAAAAGTTACTTAACTTTATATCATTTTAACTGTATATCATTTTAACTGTATATCATTTTAACTGTATATCATTTTAACTGTATATCATTTTAACTGTATATCATTTTAATTGTATCTTTAATCTGAATCTGTCTGTTTGTCAATCTCACCCTGTTGCTGTTTGAATACTGAATTTCCCCATTACCTGCAGTAAGTATATTTACCTGCAGTACGTGTATTTAGTGTATTTACCTGCAGTACGTGTATTTAGTGTATTTACCTGCAGTAAGTGTATTTACCTGCAGTACGTGTATTTAGTGTATTTACCTGCAGTACGTGTATTTAGTGTATTTACCTGCAGTAAGTATATTTAGTGTATTTACCTGCAGTACGTGTATTTACCTGCAGTACGTGTATTTAGTGTATTTACCTGCAGTACGTGTATTTACCTGCAGTACGTGTATTTAGTGTATTTACCTGCAGTACGTGTATTTACCTGCAGTACGTGTATTTACCTGCAGTACGTGTATTTACCTGCAGTACGTGTATTTAGTGTATTTACCTGCAGTACGTGTATTTACCTGCAGTACGTGTATTTACCTGCAGTATGTGTATTTAGTGTATTTACCTGCAGTACGTGTATTTAGTGTATTTACCTGCAGTGCGTGTATTTACCTGCAGTACGTGTATTTAGTGTATTTACCAGCAGTACGTGTATTTACCTGCAGTACGTGTATTTACCTGCAATACGTGTATTTAGTGTATTTATCTGCAGTACGTGTATTTACCTGCAGTACGTGTATTTAGTGTATTTACCTGCAGTACGTGTATTTAGTGTATTTACCTGCAGTACGTGTATTTAGTGTATTTACCTGCAGTACGTGTATTTAGTGTATTTACCTGCAGTACGTGTATTTACCTGCAGTACGTATATTTAGTGTATTTACCTGCAGTACGTGTATTTACCTGCAGTACGTGTATTTACCTGCAGTACGTGTATTTAGTGTAATTACCTGCAGTACGTGTATTTACCTGCAGTACGTGTATTTAGTGTATTTACCTGCAGTACGTGTATTTACCTGCAGTACGTGTATTTAGTGTATTTACCTGCAGTACATGTATTTAGTGTATTTACCTGCAGTACGTGTATTTACCTGCAGTACGTGTATTTAGTGTATTTACCTGCAGTACGTGTATTTAGTGTATTTACTGTACCTGCAGTACGTGTATTTACCTGCAGTACGTGTATTTACCTGCAGTACGTGTATTTACCTGCAGTACGTGTATTTACCTGCAGTACGTGTATTTACCTGCAGTACGTGTATTTAGTGTATTTACCTGCAGTACGTGTATTTACCTGCAGTACGTGTATTTACCTGCAGTACGTGTATTTAGTGTATTTACCTGCAGTACGTGTATTTAGTGTATTTACCTGCAGTACGTGTATTTAGTGTATTTACCTGCAGTACGTGTATTGACCTGCAGTACGTATATTTAGTGTATTTACCTGCAGTACGTGTATTTAGTGTATTTACCTGCAGTACGTGTATTTAGTGTATTTACCTGCAGTACGTGTATTTACCTGCAGTACGTGTATTTAGTGTATTTACCTGCAGTACGTGTATTTAGTGTATTTACCTGCAGTACGTGTATTTAGTGTATTTACCTGCAGTACGTGTATTTAGTGTATTTACCTGCAGTACGTGTATTTAGTGTATTTACCTGCAGTACGTGTATTTAGTGTATTTACCTGCAGTACGTGTATTTAGTGTATTTACCTGCAGTACGTGTATTTACCTGCAGGTGGCCATGTTGTACTTGATTTCACATTTCCCGTGAACACAGAATCCGTCGTAGCTCTCGGCGCAGGGGATCGGCATCCCGGCGTAGAACCCGTCTCCGTGGTCCACACCTGTGGTCTCTGCAAAACAATAACACGTTCTTTCATTCATTTAAATAACGTTTTTATTCAATATATTGGAATTTAGTTTTTTGTTTGTTTGATTTTTATTTCATCTTTACTGTTTCTTTTTTTATTTTAAACTCACTTATTATATTTTAGTACATTTAGCCTATTTCATTATATTTAATTTGCCTATTTTATTATATGTATTTGTAATATTATTATATATTTTATTGTATTATATGTATTTGTAATATTATTATATATTTAAATTGTATTATATGTATTTGTAATATTATTATATATTTTAATTTTATTATATGTATTTGTAATATTATTATATATTTTTATTTTATTATATGTATTTGTAATATTATTATATATTTAAATTGTATTATATGTATTTGTAATATTATTATATATTTTTATTTTATTATATGTATTTGTAATATTATTATATATTTTTATTTTATTATATGTATTTGTAATATTATTATATATTTTTATTTTATTATATGTATTTGTAATATTATTATATATTTTTATTTTATTATATGTATTTGTAATATTATTATATATTTTAATTGTATTATATTTATTTATTTTAATAATATTTGACACCAGTTAAACTAGTCTTGCTGAAAGCTAACTAGCCTAGCTTAGCTTAAAGGGAATCCACACAGGGGCGGATCTAGACAAATATTCATGGGGTGGCAAGAGGGTGGCAGGAGATTTTGAGGGGTGGCATCCCCTGACAGAAGTATATGCTGATTGAAATCGCAATCATATCAATCAATTAGGGGTGTAACGGTACACGTACCCGTACTGAAATTATTCGGTACGGGCCCTTCGGTTCGGTACACGTGTGTACCGAACGAATATAGCGTTAAACGTAAACAATTGAGAACAACTTTCTGGAAGTAATCTCAGGTATATATCATAGAGCGACCAAGTCATTTATTGGACGAGAGGCATACTATGAGAGCTGGTCAAAGGGATGTGTTCAAATGTAGTCAGTAATTTGAGGAAATGGCGAACGCAGATAAAGTTGAGCTGAAAATCCTCCAGCATCATTGAAGTCTCCGTTTTGGGAACATTTTGGTTTCGTAGTTACGTACAAGGATGACGGACAAAGACAGGTGGACCGAACCAAAGCTGTTTGTCGACATTGTTCAACTAACATTGGTTACGCGGCTGGCAATACATCACACTCATTTGAAAAGGCATCACCCGAATGTGAATATCACCGGTACCAAAAGAAAAAAGACTGAAGTGCAAACCCAACTCCCGCTAGCATTTAAGCCTCCACCACTCGCAGAGAGTTCAGACCGAGCCAAAGCTATTACAAACGCCAAATATCCTTATGTTGCCATGGTAGCAAAGCGCTACCTGGCTGTATCTGCTACCTCTGTCCCTAGAGAGGGTGTTCTCCACAGCAGGAGACATTGTTAGTGCCAGCAGATCTGCCCTTTCAGCAGCAATGTGGACAAGTTCATCTTTCTTTAAACAATGAAAAGCAAGTCCTAATGTCTAGCTGGCTGCTTAGGTACAGTACAGTTCAAATACAGATTATTTCAGTTCATCGAAATGCTGCACCTTAATGTTTATTTTACTATATTTTGTATTTATTTGAATACATTAGTCACAGTTTAATAATAATTAAAAAAAAATATTTAATGTTTTGTGATAATTTTTTCTGCTGTACCGAAAACGTAACGAACCGAACCGTGACCTAAAAACGAGGTACGTACCGAACCGAAATGTTTGTGAACCGTTACACCCCTACAATCAATGTTAACTTGGAAAGCCACAATATTAATATTTTAACTCAATCACATAGGTGATATTATTGTGGCACATCAGTAAAGCCTTACATATAAGGTGGCAGACGTAATTTAATGAATTTTAACTGAACAATAACTGAATGAGTTTGTCTCACTCTTAGACCAGCAGGGGTACCAAATATATACAGACTATTGCAATAAGTACATTAATTAACTGTCTCATCGATGTTTGTCTGAATGAATATGATACTATTAACAATCATATTATTCCTATCAGCTGTCAATCACTGTTATGATTCACATATTCATTTATTATTGAATAAACTATATTTTTTGGAGGAGATAATGATGAATGTTCATCAAGATGCTTGCTCACCCTCCTTCAAATTTGAAAAACAAGTAATTATATCATTATTGATATACAGTTACAACCTTGACTTTACATCAGAAAGAACAAACATTAAAGAAGTGACTAACTGCATCAGTTAGGGTTAAACATGTATTCAGCTCAAACATCGCTGCAGTAAGTTATTATCCAGTGGAAGGTCCTTACCTACTGGCCTGGTTAAATCAAAGTGGTTACTTTCTGTTGGCTGGGCAGTGTAGTTTTACACACCGTCTGATTTTACTTCCTCAGGACTTAAAACTGTTTTTTGGGGGCAGACCCCCTCAAAGAAAAATATATATACACGCATACAAGGTCATCATCTTAATAGTTTGTTATTCTCATCGAGTCATCCGTGAGCAGAGCATCAAGTTGGCATGCCTATTACAGCTGAATGCGGCGATTACTATTTTGTTCAGCAAAACGCCTCACAAACGTATTAAGATCCAAAGCTGTAGTGCGTTTTGATTCAATGCTGAGTACAGCCACACTGACAGTCTCTTCTCTGTCATTGTAGACCGCAACTACCTCATTCCTTCAGTGCTTGGGTCCGAAACGCTTCTCGTTTTGCGCCGTCCCGTTCAAATGAATTCGCCACCAATCATATTTCCACTCTCGCGCCAGGACCGGGGGAGGGGTTACATGACGTGCATCTTGTGCTGCATTCACTTGCACTCGGACATTAGAGACTTTCTCTCATAAATGTCTGATGAGCCAACAACTTTTCTTTCAAAACAAAGCTTCCAACCGGGGTGGCAGCTGGGGTGGCAAGGCTATTGTTTAGGGTGGCAGTTGCCACCCCATGCCACCCCGGTAGATCCGCCCCTGAATCCACATGATTTAATGTGTTAATGAGTGACATTCAAATAATACATTTCAATCTTTTGAATCAGATATGAATTAATTTGAGTAAAGGAACCATTTGTATTCACGTTTCCACTTCCTGAGCCTTCAGACTTCACTGAGTGTAACTCCAGTGTGTTCTGTCTGATGGAGATAATTACACTCCTCTCCACTGCAGCGTTAGTGACGTGTTAATTACAGATTCTGCAGAGTGTGATTTTAACATCGGGGAGTGTTTCCAGCTCTTCTCCAAAGCCTCCCTGAGAGAAGCATAATGACGGTGATTACCCTGAGAGCTGGTTCCTCTCTCAGAGCGACGGTTAGAAGGCCACACAGAAATCGTCTCTGAGCAGCATGTTGTCATGTTTTCTTATCAAAGCAACCTTTTTGTGGTGTTTTGGTTCTTGTCGTTCGTACAGAAGCTTTAAATCTCCATGTTTCATCTGTTTTCCATTATAACATGTTCTTTCTGTGAGTTAACTACACATAAACAACACGGCTAGTAGGAGCAGAAGAAGACGGCAAAGAAACAACAATGGACGTAGAGAGACGACACAGAGACACAAAACAACTAGATATTATGATCAAAGACAAAGAGATACTAAAAGACCAAAGACCATGTATACGAGGGGGAGGGGCTTATCATTATTCCTCATGAGTCCATTCTCTATTCATGCATAATGAACTCTGAAAGACATGTCCTCTGAAGGTCGTACAAACGGACTTCACGTTATCAGAGAGAAACGAGCCCTCTGTTTGTGCCTTTGTCTCTGAGTGCAACAGAAACCCAGAGGACGTCGAGCTGCAGATAATAAACCCTTTAGTTCCCGTTTCATCTCTTGGCAAGATGTCCCCTGGTCTCCAGCTGTGTGCGTCACTCTTTAGTGTCCCCTGGTCTCCCAGCTGTGTGCGTCACTCTTTAGTGTCCCCTGGTCTCCAGCTGTGTGCGTCACTCTTTAGTGTCCCCTGGTCTCCAGCTGTGTGCGTCACTCTTTAGTGTCCCCTGGTCTCCCAGCTGTGTGCGTCACTCTTTAGTGTCCCCTGGTCTCCAGCTGTGTGCGTCACTCTTTAGTGTCCCCTGGTCTCCCAGCTGTGTGCGTCACTCTTTAGTGTCCCCTTGTCTCCCAGCTGTGTGCGTCACTCTTTAGTGTCCCCTGGTCTCCAGCTGTGTGCGTCACTCTTTAGTGTCCCCTGGTCTCCAGCTGTGTGCGTCACTCTTTAGTGTCCCCTTGTCTCCCAGCTGTGTGCGTCACTCTTTAGTGTCCCCTGGTCTCCAGCTGTGTGCGTCACTCTTTAGTGTTCCCTGGTCTCCAGCTGTGTGCGTCACTCTTTAGTGTCCCCTGGTCTCCAGCTGTGTGCGTCACTCTTTAGTGTCCCCTGGTCTCCCAGCTGTGTGCGTCACTCTTTAGTGTCCCCTGGTCTCCCAGCTGTGTGCGTCACTCTTTAGTGTCCCCTGGTCTCCAGCTGTGTGCGTCACTCTTTAGTGTCCCCTGGTCTCCCAGCTGTGTGCGTCACTCTTTAGTGTCCCCTTGTCTCCCAGCTGTGTGCGTCACTCTTTAGTGTCCCCTGATCTCCCAGCTGTGTGCGTCACTCTTTAGTGTCCCCTGGTCTACCAGCTGTGTGCGTCACTCTTTAGTGTCCCCTTGTCTCCCAGCTGTGTGCGTCACTCTTTAGTGTCCCCTGGTCTCCAGCTGTGTGCGTCACTCTTTAGTGTCCCCTGGTCTCCAGCTGTGTGCGTCACTCTTTAGCGTCCCCTGGTCTTCCAGCTGTGTGCGTCACTCTTTAGTGTCCCCTGGTCTCCAGCTGTGTGCGTCACTCTTTAGTGTCCCCTGGTCTCCAGCTGTGTGCGTCACTCTTTTGCGTCCCCTGGTCTCCCAGCTGTGTGCGTCACTCTTTAGTGTCCCCCTTGGTCTCCCAGCTGTGTGCGTCACTCTTTAGTGTCCCCTGGTCTCCCAGCTGTGTGCGTCACTCTTTAGTGTCCCCTGGTCTCCCAGCTGTGTGCGCCA